ATAAGTGGCAGGTCCAAAACAAACCAAAAGAACTGGTTCTTGACAAGGTATGTCATTGAAATTGTTGCCACAGGGTGTTTATGTAGTTTCAGAAAACATCAGGATGAACTGATAGAATAACAATATGTTGGGGTGTATTAAATACAGAAACCTTTGTGTTAGGCTATTCTGCAAGTGCATGGAGGCAAAGAAGACATTCAGGAACTGTGCTACATACTGCCTTTGCTTTTAAACTCTTTTTCCCAAGAAATCAATTTTTTTGGCTGATGTGGAGGTGAACGTTTAGTCTGAGCTAGTATCACATTTTATAGGAGGAGCTAGAAAAGTGCACATGAAGAGGTGTCATAGGTTACGATAATAAAGGGCCTTGAGCAGCAGGAATCCTGATTCAAAAGCACACAAAAGCTCTGAAAAATCAGAGAAAGTGGAGATTCAGGTTGTTCTTAATTAGCATTTAGTGTATCCTGATAGGCTAAATGGCATTTGTTTGTATTTTTAAAGACACAGCTCTTGCATCTACTGCTTTCAAACACTGCAGCCAGTGACTGATGGCTTCCTTCTTGTATGTGAAGTTGTACGTTGTGAAAGCTAAAACAGAACATATTTTATTAAAATCAAAACCTGTAAGTAATAGAAGGTAAAGGTGTCTTTAGTATTTAGTTGTTTATCTTCCTTTGTTTACAGCTTTAGTTTACTGTTAACTACTTTATGGATAATCCTTGTTCCTAGCATTTGTGGAAAGAGATGGAGCTAAGAGCTGTCACGTTTTCATGAGATAAGAACCGAAAGATCTGAAACAGAGGGCAGAGTAAAATCTTCTGCACTTATGGAAATAACACTTGTCGACATCATTTGTGATGTCTTGTTTCTTGTTCTTCCAAAATGTTGTGTGGCTAGAAATGGCTCCTGTCAGTCATCAGTATATAAGTTTGTAATAGTTTTGATAGCAGATTGTATTTACATGATGTATTGCTTCTTCCCAGATTTTACAGAAGGTACTGCATGGGTGCAGTGAGAGCATGCCATGGACAATGGCACTGACAGCTTGCCAGTTCATGGAAGAACCAGGAATGGCAGTGCAGATGCGTGAATCTAAACATCTTTCTAACAGCAATACCAATTTTGAGGTAAGTTAGACTTGTAGTGTAGTACAGTGCATTTGCATGGCTGGAAGAGTTCTGAAACATCAAGGTGGTTGGAGCAGAAATGTCAGTGGTCCATGTGTTTACCTGTGAGACTTTTTGCTTGAAGCACCTGGGAAATACCTGTTCAGTGTTGCTTTTGGAAGGGCTGCTGCTGGATGAGTGAGGCCTTGCCCTGTAAAGAAATATGTTCAGTAAGGCACGTTTATGTAATCTAATTCAATCATGTGAAAAGTGCATAACTTCAATGGTTTTGCTACACAAACAATTATTATTTTCTTCTCTTCCAAAGGATTTCCGTTTGCCTGTTACTTTCTTGTGCTGTTAGATGAAAGCTGGGAGTGGAGTCTCGTTTTTCTTGTATTTCTCATTTTAGATTATCTTATCCTGACACAAACAATTCTTATTTTCTTCTCTTGATACTGTTTGAAAGCCTTTTTCTAGTAAAGTTTAGTAAGTAATTGTTGCCTCTGGCCAGCCTTGGGGTTTTTAATTCATCTGCAGCTCTAACTCTTCTGATTTTTATTGTTTAAAATGCATATAAACCTTTAGGTTGTGGCAGTGGAGATCAGTATCAGCAACAATTACAGCTTCTAATAAAACCCTAGCAATTAATTTTACATGTTTAACAACTAACACAAACAATAGGCCATGCTTTACATTTGTTAAATTAGCTCCGGATAAAAACGTTAAAGAGGGTTGTTTGGTTTTTGGGGGATTCTTTTTCTCTATGGATATGCTGTAGTATTTGTTGTTTGTATGGTGAAAGTGAAGTAGCTCTTTGGTAATATAGTATTGCAGGATGCAAAGATCATGTGTTTATTTCTCAGGATAAAGTTCACATTCCTGGTGCTATCTACCTCTCAATCAAATTTGACTCTCAGTGTAATACAGAAGAGGGCTGTGATGAGTTGCTCATGTCCAGCAGCAGTGATTTCCAGCAGGATCGACACAGCTTCAGTGGGTCTCCACAGAAGTGGAATAATTTTGAACTTCCAGGTGAATATGCTGCGTTTCAAAGTGCAGATGCGTAGGCTATTGATGGTGTTTTGGACTCTCAAGAGAAACTAATGACACTTATATGTGGATGTTCCTGAAAAGACAATCCTTTTCTTGTCCCAGCCTGTTTGCTCTGACGTGTTGCTCTTGCATTTGTTTCTTGAAAGTAGGCTTATCTGCTGTTCTGCTGCTTGACCTTTTTTTTTTTCCACCCTTTGGTCAAAGCATGCACTCCGTGACTGGAAACAAATTTTGATCTTGATTCTGTTCCAACACAGTCCTTGTTCTGCACAACATTCACTTACATTGTTTCTGCCTTGTCTTACTTTCCACAGGAAGCACATTAAAAAAAACCCAAAAGATAGGCTTATCTCTTCACTCTGCTACACAAGTGCTCAGATAAGGAGTGTGTGCCCGTGCCTTGTCTCCAGTTGTTGCCACAGAGTACAGCTGAAAAAAAATCAGTTGACTGACAGCTTCAGTCTCTGTTCTCTCCCAAGCATGTTTTTGATAACAGAGTAGCAAATGCTGGTGAGCTGAAGGATAATGTCTTTTAAGTTGTTTTAACCCACTGAGCACCATGACATTGCAGGAAGCTTTTGACTTTGAGTGCTGTCAGTAGCTGGAAATAGGTGTAGGAGCTCTCTTAGCAGAGCAGTTTGGGTGACAAAGTGCAAGTTATTAACAAACGAGTACACTGTAGAAATACTTTGGATTTTTATGACCTTCTTCTGTCCTTTTCCTTCCAAATAGTTGCAGAGGTTTTGCCAAGAAACTGAACTTGGAGGCCCATTGTTTTGGAGCAGCCTTGGCTGTGAAACTTAATTTTCACCTTGTGAAACTTCATTTCTGGACAAGGCTGTCTGGATTAAGGCTCTTGATTCCCTTCAGCAGGCTTAACTGAAACCAGGCATTTGAAGGCTTCTGGGCTTTTCATTTGATGGCAGGGCTTTCTCAAAACTCCTAGGAATAGCAGAGATCAATGACTCCATTTTGTGATGAAAAAGGGAAGAAGCTTTTAGATTTTTAGGGGTTTTTTAATCGTAAAAAATGTTTTCAAAATGTTTCTTCATGAAACTGCAAATTCTGCTTCTCAGTGAAAACTAGCATGCTTGTCCCAGGGTGACAGGATTTTCCATGGAACAGAAGGAGATTCTGTTTTAATCAGATCTAGTATTGCAGAGCATGACAGGTAAGGACCTGTTTTGTTTAGCATTACAGCTAACCACCAGTGTTTCCCTCTGAGGAGCTGGAGATGCTACAATGACAAGAACTTCTTGAATGTTCCAGTTCCTACTGCAAAATGGTCAAGCATTGTGATAGCTCTTCCGCTTTTAACCATAACCACTTAAGGGTTTTGTTCCCTAGAGTGAAAATGTGCCATTTAATTCTCTGACATGTAAAAGCAGTGCAGCTTTGCTTTCTCTGTTTTTTAACCTTTTGTTTAATGGGCTGTGAATTTGGCTGCTTTTGTAGAGGTTCTTTTTTCATAAATCATAACTGATCCATAACACAATTGGAAAAGGGAAGTTTAATTGTGTTCAGTATAGAGGTTCTTTAACTCCTCCTTCCATCCAGCTGACAAGCATGTAAGAGACATTATCCTTGTATCTTTACACAGTGAAAACCATTCTGTGTTTTGCTTTAGCCTCCTGCTTATCATACTGTTCTGTGCATTTCAGAATTACCAAAAAGCAAAAGATCACATCTCCTGAATGATGATTTCTAGGATTAATCTGTGACAGACTTTTCATCTGAATTGCATTTGTGGTAGCAAAGCTAACTCAGAAGGTAGTCATGTGGATTTTCTTCCTCCCCTTGTACACAGGTGACACGCTCTATTACAGATTTACTTCTGACATGAGTAACACTGAGTGGGGTTATAAGTTTACAGTGACAGCAGGTCATCTTGGAAGGTTTCAGACAGGTAAGCACTGCTCAGAATGTGTTGGAAAGGGCTTTCTGGAGTTATTTTGACAAGCTTTGAGAGACTTGTGGTTATCCCCTTTCTTGACTTAGAATTTGCTTTCTCCAATGTTTGGGAAACAATGTGTTTAGTTTTGTTCAGGTTGATTCTTGACTAATGTCTCTTACTTGCTGTGACTTTGTTAGAAATACCAGATCTTCAGAGGTGTGGAGACAATTATAGTAATGTTACTTGCATTCAAAGTTTCATTATATCAGTAATTACACACCTAAGTAACCACTCTAAGGTGCCATAATCAGAAACACAAATAATTGTAATTGTGTCTTTAAAAATCGTTATCCATTAAGATAAGTTGGTTCTGGATCTAATTTCTAGCTATAGCATGAAAGGGTTTGTTAGTTTGTATTAGAGTTTAAATATTTGTAATGAAGTTGAGGCTGGTGGATGACTGCATCAGCAGAAGTCAACTGCATAGTGAGGACCTATAGAATCATAGAATAGTTAGGGTTGGAAAGGACCTTAAGATCATCTGGTTCCAACCTGCCTGCCCTGGGCAGGGACACCTCCCACTGAAACACCTATGCTTAATTTGCCTTACTTGGGCAAACTTTAATTTCAGATAGGCTTCTTTCTCGTTTTGATCTATATTTTGCCCAAGAAAAGACTTGTGATCTTGAGATGTAATCCAGAATTATCTCAAGTTTTTGTTTGGTGTTACAGTTTGGTATTTCTTGCTTGCCAGATCAGTATTTATTATATGGAGAAGAGAGAACTGACTATATGAACAGAATGGGTCCCTACAAAAGTAACAGCTGTTTGAATTTTACTTGATTTTCTTTCTCCAGGGTTTGAAATTCTAAAGCAGATGCTGTCTGAGGAAAGGGTAGTTCCTCACCTCCCACTGGCCAAAATCTGGGAATGGCAGGTTGGGGTAGCGTGCCGTCAGACCGGCCACCAGCGTTTGAAGGCTATCCACTTGCTCTTGAAGATAGTGCAGTGCAGTGCCCAGAGGTGAGTGGACTGTTCTATGATGTGCACTAAAAGGAAAACAGCATGAGAAGAAAAAGTGACTAAGCTGATATGATTTGAAGTAGATAATTTGCCTTTCAGATACAATTCACAGTGCCTGATAGATATTTATTATAAAGGGTTATTTTGAAACCATTCTTTTATTTATTTTTGGGGGGGGCTTTCTGAAAAGGTCCAATGAACTCAAATGTTGTTTTAAAGGAAACCAAGTCACCCCAAAACAGGACAAAGAAGAGATTTCAGTTCATTTTCTAGAAATTTACTTTATTAGTAGTACTTCAGGATTAAGGTGAAGATGGAATAATAAACTGGTAAAATGATGATCTGCTTCTCTAGAAAGTAAATAACTTTTAAATTACTGTTTTCAGTTGTACCACTAAGCTTGCAATTGAGTTTTAGAAGAGATAGGTATACTAATGCTTATGTATGTATGGCATGGGTATTCCTCATGAAAATACACATTCAAAACAGTGTTGAGCTCTTAGTGTTTTGCATTTGTTCCCAGTCACATTAACTCAATAGAAATACTGGAAACAGACAAGAATGCTGGAACACTGACACTTACCTGGTTATACCTTTTCAGTTCAGAATAAGCAAAACCATTAAAAGAACAGCATCCTACTAGCTTGCTTTGATAAAGGGAAGTCAAAAAGTATATTTACATGCTGTGATAAGAATGCACAATTACATAAAACCATTTGGTTCTCTGCAGACTTTAGATACACTGATCTGCCTCCAAGTCTGAAAACCTGGCTTTGGGATTTTAATCATGGATTTATTTTTTCAAGTTCCCTTAGGTATTTTCATCAGCAAATTTCATCTTTGTCATGTGGACAACAAATTTAATTGCTGAAAGGCCAAGTCTCTATTGTGCTTGTATTATTTAATTTTTCTTGTGTTAATCTGATGATAAATTCTGAAATTGAGTTTCCCCTTTTCTCTCCTTCCCCCCCCCCCCCAATATTTGTCATCCTATCCATGTAGTAAGTACCATTTGGGTTAGTCGGCTTTAACTCAGGAGTAGGAAGGAGGCAGGGTTGGAATCGTTTTTAAAGCTATAGATCAGTTTTTGTCTGCACTGTACAAGGGCATCACCTGCTTAGTGCTGTAGTGCAGTATTGGATAACCTCAATGGAGCTACAGCATTTTGCAAAGTGATGTATATAGTTATTTTAAAGTCCTCATTTCAGGCGGCCACTTAAGTTTTACGGAAGTCATGTGGACATTCACAGATGTGAGGTTTTCTCCACTGATTCAGAATGAAATTAATTGTGCTGAAACACTTGACTGAATTTAAATTTTAGGATAATTCTTGTGCTTCTTCCTTCATTGATGCATCTGTTAAAACTGTATGGTTTTGTTCTCTTGAATTTGTTTGGGGTTCTGTGTTGGGTTTTTTGCCTTCCCAGAAGCAGGCATAAAGTCATGGTTACTCACTACTTCATTTGAATTCCTTTTTCAGGGACTGTGACCTTACCTTATTGAAGCCACTTTGGCAGCTTTTTACCCATATGGAAAACAACTTGTGTCATGACATGGCCAAGCCTGGGATTCTTCTTCCTCTTCATCGCGCACTTGCAGAACTCTTCTTTGTTACAGAAAACAGAGTTACTGTAAGCAGTTCCTGTACTTGCATCCCTCCTCTCCCCAGTGCCCAGAATGATACATAGTTCAGTGTTAAATTACAGGTAGTTTTCCTGTATCTTGGCAAAGTTCATCAGAGCTTTAGAACCATTAAATGCTTCAGACACATTAAAAACTTTCTCTTGTGGAGTCTGGTAGCAAATTCTAATAGAGGGGCATACTGTTGCCATATCCATTGTGGAGCCTTATGTAATAGTCATGACTCCTTATGCACTTAAGGCAGCAAGCCCTAAAGCCACTCTTTCTTCTGAGAGGAATGCTGATTTAATAATTAAAGGTATTTAAATGTGCTTTTCCTTGAGTTGGTTTTGCACATTACATAGAAACGGTCTTTAATGGACTGATCTGTGGTCACAAACTGTGTTCTGGTCAGGGAGAGTCTTATGTGTAGTTTCAGATATCTTTGGTTCATGGGGACTACTGTCATGATCAGCATTTTAATGTTAATTAGTAGGATGATATCTTTAGTAGAAGTGTTGGTGTTCATTGAATGCTTTCTTGCAGGAGCTTGGATCTATACAGGAGTATCTGCTTGCCTTAAATACTGAAGATCATCTTCATCGCTGCACAGCACAGGTAATAAGCTTGCACAACCTCAGTGATGTGTGGGTTTGCAATATCTTTCTGGCAGGCAGAAATAATGAATGGTTTCTGACTGCCCAGTGGAGTTGTATAAAGTAGAGATAAATGTACTTTGACTTTACAGTACCATGAAAGGCCTCTGAAATACGTGAATGAACTACGCACAAATGTTCTCCTTTAATAGTCAGCTGATGTGCCACAAAGAGGCTGTTGGGTGTCATCAGGTATATATACCTGGTTTACCAAACTGCCAAAACGTGGGAATGGGCATGGGGGCTGGTCTTTCAGTAGCTGGAAATGCAGTTGCCTTGCTGGAACTGCCTGGATACATGACAATTGTTGCACTGCCATGAGAGGAGCAGCTAGAAACAGGGTGGTTATTTATTTCTGTTTAATTTCATACAAGGTTTTCTTTCATTTTGGATTAGCAGAATCACGACTTTGTTTTTTCCTTCTCTCTTTTAGGCCCTGAAAAACATTGCTGCTATCAGCCTTGCCATTAACTATCCAAACAAATCAACAAGTTTCTGGAATGTTTAATACTGGCTCAGGCCGGAGTGCATGGGATAGAGTAGTTTGTCCATAGGACATTGGAACGAACATCTTAACTCCGTTCAGGAAAAGTTCCTTCAGCTTCAGTGTATGAGCACTCTGCAGCCTGCCTTCCTTCCTTCCTTCCTTCCACCTTGATGTAGAATTTGTAAAAGTAAAAGCGCACTTCAATGAAAAAGCACATCTTGAAGTAACTCACGCGTCGCCTACAGTTATGTATGCACATATTGTAGCATGTTAGAGTAAACTGAACAATACTTTTTTTTTACCCAGAGGAAGTAAATGGAAGAAGGTAGCTGAGAATGGAAGGCCCCTGCATTGGTATCATCTGCTCCCAGGGAAACTTGATTGATGGAAATGACTCGGAGTGATGGCATCGACAGTGTCTGTTGTATGTAGTTGAATTGAGATAGGCAAACCATAATCTGGTGGGCTGATGCAGAAATGGTCCACACTTGAATCCTGTCATGTTTGCTTTTGCTTTGAAGGCTACTACCCAAGAAAAAAGATTTTAATTCTTGCTAAACTACAGGTTGTAAAACAAATTCTGGTGATTCACATAGCAAAGGATTCCAGTTTCAGAGCATCCTTGTGCGAGAAGTTTGTTTCTCATGTTCTTTGATTTGATCAGCTGGATCATCTATTCTTACCTTATCTCCAGCGTGGTGTTCTAAGTAGTATATCATTCTAGTGTGGAGAGCAAAGGCTAGCCTCCATTCACAGAGCAGTGATAATAGGAAGAACTGAGGAACTTACATGTTTCTCAAAGATCACAACTTTACAAGAAATTGTTAATGAAGCTTTTTTTCTTCCAATTATTTCAATACTAGTGGCTTGGGAGGTCCTTCTTGGCAATGCTGGGAACCCAGACTCCCAGCACTCAGGGTGGGGGTTAATGATCAATCAAGTCTTACCATACAGAGCAATAACTGCATTACTCCTAGTGAACATGGAATCAATTGCAGACCTTCTGTGCTGAAATAAATTGGCTTTCTTCCTGCTCAACTATGCTGGTTATTCCCTTTCCAAAGAATTATAAAGAACAAAAAAGCATTTTGGGGTGCATTTTATATACCATTAGACAGTATGGTCTTGTCAGGTATGAATGCAGAGAAATTTATGCTAAATTTTTTCTTCTTCCCTTCATCAACATCAGGATATGGAAGAAAGGGACCCAAAAGCTTCAGTAATAACTGAATACAGGTTGTATAAAGGCAGTGGCTCTCTCAGAAAGGAGTATGCTTGCCCAAGGACCTCACTTGTCCAAAAGGGGAGGGGTGCCTAGATGTCAATGTGCAATGTGTACAGGAGCACTGCATTGGGGGATGACCTCTGAATTGATGGTCTTACTTGCTGGGGCTGGAATTTTAAGGGTGGTCCAATCTTCCCCTGAGAGGGAAATGTACAGTAATATATCCCCTTTTCTTGGATGGCATCTAGTGCTGTAGTTAGAGATGATTTGAATTCTGTTCAGGCAGGTGAGTGCAAAGTGAACATTGCTTCAGATCAGCTTGAACCAGAATGTTATTATTCTGCCTGAAAGACTTAAAGCTGACAACCAAGCAGCACTATGCTGAAGCCATTGCCTTCAGGAGCGGAGTGGCCCTCTTAGCAAATGAGAATGCCAGAATTCAGGGAAAATGTACCATTTATCAAAGTCTGAAAGGAGGCAGAGAGATACTGCTCTGAACCCCCTCCTCGAGTATAATTGAAGGTTAAAGCCCTCCTTCCTTCCTGAATGAGATCGTGATGGGAAGGGACTTAATCAGAGTTGGGGCACACCTTTAACACATGGTTCATTTTGCTCCCACATCTGAGTAACGTATTGGAGTTTGCAATCTCACTGCAGGGCTGTCTGAGAGATCTCTGAGGAGCAACTGTTCCCACAGTTCCTAACAGCGTGAGCAGATTCTGGGATCAGGGAGTTGCTCCACCAAAATGAGACGCTCTTTAGTCTCCTTCAGGGAGTCAAACTGATGGGCAGGTGAGCATTTTGAAATTGCTCTTCTGGAGCAGTAGGACTTCTGTTCACTGCCTCAGTGTGAATCCATGGCTACGTGGTCAGGGATATGCAATGGGCTGATTTGCTAAGGCATGTAGCATGCTGCTGAGATCTGCCTGTGTTAGTCAGAGAAGGCTTTTTTGTTTTTTTCACATCAGGGATGAAGACTGTAAATAAACCCTTCACAGAACCTCTCATGGCTCTAGCATAGTCACTTTCTTTTCCCCAGTAGACTGTCTTTTTGCTCTCTGTTTAAAGACATGAGGCTGCGAGAATGACACAGGAATGGCCAGTGTTCCCTACTTAGGTGTACCACTGTAACTTACTCTACCAGCAGTAACTGGCCCCATGAGTCAGTCGCCTTGCCCTAAAGGGACTGTCTAGGAACAGTGTCCACTACCTATAATCTCTACCCACTAGATGGAACTGAAGAACTGCGACCTGAGTTGACACTGAATCTGTTGCTGCCTTACAACTCATTCATTATGGATTTTTTAAGAGTCAAGAAACACTGATTATTAATACTTTTTTTTTCCTTCTGATAGTTATAAAGAAAGGAAGCAAATACCAATAGTGAATATTCATGGTCAATCATATTTTGAGAATCCTGCAGCGGTTCTAGTGGATGTGGATGATACTATTGAGTAGTATAAAACTGTCTGGGAAAAACAGGTATGCAGAAAAAATGTGCCTAATATAACAAAAACAGAAGTTGTCCTGCCTGAATCACCTGATGATGTGTTTAAGTCAAACCATATTGTTCCTAATAATACATTTGACTTGCTTTCATTAAACACTTAACAAAGAGAATTTTATAATTTCTTTTCTTACGGGTTTAATACTTTGCAATTTTTATCAGTTGTTTAAAATATATCAGGCCTTTAGATTTCTTCCAGTTCAGTTCAACATGTAAAAAGAAAGCTACAGATGTGGGTAAAATATGCAAATGAAGAGAAATATATTGTAAAAATTCTATAAAAACAAAAACATACAACACAATGTCTGGTTTTTTGCTTTTTTTTCCTCTCCTCACTGAGTGGTGAATGCTTGGAGTTGCAGGGAGAGCCAGAGGCTTTCTTGGGTGTCTTCAGTTGCTGTGCCTGTAAGCAAAACTTTCTTCATGCGGTCAGTATATATCTGATACTGTATTGAACTACATATGATATGTACTTCTGGAGTCATCGCTTAAATTCAAGCCCTGCTGCATACACTCCAGTGGCCTTATCCTAAAAATGAAGGTTTCCCATGGATATACACTGGTTTCAGTGCCTGCATTTACTTTCACATCTGAAACATGCATCTGGGGCTGCAGGTGTCTCATGTAAAGCTGAGATTTGTCTTGGTGCCTCTTGATTTTAGCTAGTAGCATTTATCAGTAGAGGTGCTCGTGCCTACCTAGTCTAATAGCTCAGTGTAGAAGCTTATTTACCTTGGGTTTGGCTTGAGAGAAGGGTTGTTCAGGGAAGTGTGAGCAAGTTGACGTCTTTCTGTATTTACCTAAAGCTGCAAGTTGTTTCCACTGGTTCCGCCTGCTCAGGGAATGCTTAATTAGGTAATTTTATTAAATACAAATTAGTATGGTTGTGAAGCTGTGGGAGAGTGGGGAACATCCCCCGTGACAGTGGTAAATCAAACACGTTCAGTTTAATCTGCTGTTAAACTTAGTGTGGGCCCAGGCACTGAGATGTAAGGGAGGTCACAACCATCGTGTTTGTGAAACACTGTTTTTCAGAACAAGTTAATTAAAAATGTTTTTCTTCCAAGAGGTCCAAATGAGGCTGCAATGTCCCATTAGGTCAAGACCTGCCCTGTTTATAATCTTAAACCTGCAGTGACCATCTGCAAATCCATGAAGGTGCCCTGCTATAAAATATGGGCACATTGGAACAGAGCAAGGCTCCGATAATCTGATTCGGTACTTTCCCTTTTTAATGATGAATGTGGTTTCTTGTGGCCAGAAGTGAGTCATGTTGGATATCAGCTGAGGAAACCACCAGCACAAGGAGCCTACCCTGTTTCCAGGGAACAAACAACAGCCACAGCCGTGGGAGTCTATGAAAAGAATGACCTGGTCTTTAGGCAAAGCTACTAGAATGTTGGAAAACAAATTAATATATGTAAAGGGGACACTTTTCAACACTTCGGGAGATCAGGCTGGATAATAACTAAATGTGCATTGGTAAAATGGCCTGGAAAAACAGGAACTGTGCTGGGCTTTGTATGGGAAACAGCAATCTGGCCCACCTCTGAATTTCAATCACAGAAGTCAATTCCGATTCAAGTGAATAAGAGAGAAATCCACTATGAATAGGGAAGGAATTAAGTAAGAGGTAAAGGAAGTAAGATTAAAGCTCATTCTTTCCATGATGGTTAGGTCTAATTGAACTGGGTTTATTCTGCAGTAATCTTGCCTGATTTTTACCTCCTAAATAATAATCATAAAAAATAATAAGTTGGTATCCAGTTCAAACCCAGGCTGCAACATTGTGGTGGGGCTCATCAATGAGTATGCAGTCTAAGGAGAAATAAACCCTTTAACCCCCCCCAACCTGTTTCCTCCAACTGGAAACATCAACAAGCATTGCTGCTAAATAGATGGAAATCTCAGTTTTGGAGTGGTCCTTAGCATTTAGCGAGTCATTCTTTTTATATTCAAGGGCTGAGAATGTTTGTTTAGATTTAGGGAACACGGGGAGAAGAAGTAGAGAAAGGAAAACCAGACTGTGTTGGAGACAGAAGTCTTTCCACCTAAGTGTTACAGATTTTGCTGGGGAGTTTCTCCTTACAAATGCTTTCCTGACAATTTTAATTGTTTTTATTCTCTTTTTTTAATGCTGGTTTCTTGCATCCATTCCCCACTTCACTGTCTGACTTCTCATAAATATTACTGGGTTTTTTTTTGTTGTTAACATTTGCAGTGCAAATAACAAATATTTAAGCTTGTCTTGCAGGGAAAAAGTCAGTTTTATTAAAACCAAAGGAATATAAAATTAAAGTGCCTGCAAATATTTGTCAGTGGTACCTTCTCTCCCAGGCTTATTTCCAAAGCACTTTGTTCGCATCTCCTAGCACCTGCAGCATCAGACATGCTTACTCCAAGCCATTTTGAGACCTGTATTTGCACGTGAGTGACTGCTAGATGAGGTGCTCCATTTTGTAGGCATGGTGTGGACCACATCCGGCAGTGGATGCGCCTCTCTTCACCAGCACTGCTGGGGAGTGTTCCCCATTCCTACCTGCAAAGGACTGAGGTTTGGCTAATTGTGGTGAGCTTGATTATGTTCTCTGATGGCTCTGAGCAGTGACTACAGCAACACATTTTCAGTTGTCTCTTACTTTTGTGACCTGCTTTAGTGCATCTCTGTGCCTTGCTGCAAGTCCCCCGCAAAGGTGTGTTTCATGGCTCCTTCTCTTGGCAGAGATGAGATGCGCGGTGCTTCCTTAGGGATACAGGGAGAACTGGCACTCGCTTGCTGCTCTCAGATGGTGTTTGCTCTCTTCCAGGAAGTGTTGGGAAGGTCTTGCTAAACATCATACCTTCTTACTCCGTTGTGCTTAATATCTGACATGTAAAATTATTCATAGAATGGTTTGGGTTGGAAGGGACCTTAAAGATCATCTGATTCCAGATTTTTAGCTCTTTGTGGTGGATAATTGCCGTTATCTTTAATGCACCTCTGTGGGGCTGGGTTTGGAGCTCAGCTTTTACCTTGCTGCCTTTCAGCCCCCCCAAAGGTTTTAACCTCCTCAGCCACATACAATTTCTTGAAACCAACAAAACCTCTTACTGGACTCCAAAGGAGCTGCTGCTCTGCTCATCCACTGGCATTGCTGCCGCATCAGGAACATGGACAAAGGCAAAACAAAGTGAAAAGAGGTGAAGTGATGCACAGCATGTTTTGGTAATTACTTTATTTAAATATATATTCCCTGTGTGTTGTTAACCAGACCCAGTAAGTTTCCACAGACTATATGACCAAGTTATTTCTGTACTGTTGGACAGTAGCAGAGTATTGCTCTAGGAGGGCTTTGCAGGTGGGGATTGTAGTGCATGCAGGGGTTGTAATCCTGGAAGGGGTTATAGTGCAGTTCCTGCCATCAACTGCATGTTGTTGAAGCTCAGTCTGAGTTTCTGAGTGACTGATCCTATATTAATGCCTGAGGAATGACAGAAAAGGCTTCCCCTTACGCTTTCTCATTAGTAAAAGCATCCTATAAAGATTTTTCACTCTCTAATAAGTCATCTTCTATAGAATACCTATAAAAGGGGGACTTCAATATGTATATGTAGTGCGTAGGGCTTCAGTTCATCACTGTGCTTAGATTAAATTAAATCTGCGATTAAGGTGTAATGGTAAGCATATGTAGTTAAGCATTTCAGAGGAGGCTTTAACTTGCTTTTGTTGCCTTGGAGCCTAAACAGCCTGCTCTGTTGATAGGAAGTTCACAAATTGTACAGCTTTGTCTTGCATCCAGCAGGATCTGGAGAAGGCAGAAAACACAAAGATGAATTCTTGAGTCAGGAGAAGCGTTGAGTCAGGAGACCTTTCGTTTTGAGAGTAAGTCGTGTCTGCGTCTCTTACCCTTCTGCTTTGCACAAACCACCCACGGAAAGCTCATTAATAAAAAATGTCAATGGTTTCTCAGAAATACCCCCATACCTTGGGGTTTATGCTCCCTGGAGTATCAGGTTGGGCTTTTTTCTCCCCACCAATTCCCTTTGGGTTTGTTTAAGATGTCTTTGTTCTTTCATACTCTGAATGTTAATATTTAAAGAAAAAAAAGAGTGTTTCATCCTCCACGGGGTCAATTGTGGATATGCTGCTGGATTCTAAATGATGTCTCCTTGCCTTTAACGATTGTCTTCCTTGTGTTGCTCTGAAAAACTGCCTTTTCCTCCTCTCATTCACTGGTCTCAAAATACAGCGTGATGCATTTGATCTTCTGGCACCTTATTTGTCTGCAGAAGGTGTCTCAGCTTCTTCAGAGCTGATGGCATGGTGGAGAGTGTGCTCTTTGCTCCTGCCCTCCCCACTGTGCCGGTTCTCTCCTGTGGTTTCATCAGGCTGTGGGAGGCAGGACCCAGGGAGCTGAAAATAGTTCCTTTATTTACCATAAACTCAAAAGCTCTAAGAGAGTAAAGCAAACTCCTCCTGAATTTTGCACTAATAATGCTTAAACCCAGCAGAGCCTGCTGCTGAGAGGCTATAGCTTTTCTTTAAGTCTGCAACACAGGCAAGGGGGGAATCCATGGATGAGCAGTGTGGTTGATACCCAGGAGGTGCCACTGTCTGTCCCTTGTGCTTGCAACACACTGTAGGAATTAGAGATGCTGCTCTGCTCCACAAGCTCTCCTCCTAGCCAAAATCAGTGTTAGAAGGGCATGAGAAAAATCCCTGCAGTTCCTTAGGGGCTTTGCCTGCTTGCTTTCCAGCGCTCAATGCTTCATGCCCCCTGGGCCAGTGAAGGGTGCAGGGTGGCTGCGCTCAGTCCAAGAGCCATTGGTGCTGTTGCGGCTGCTGCCGGTAGAGTTTCTTCTGCATAAACCCGAGCCGTTTCCGTCCCAGCTCCTTGCTCACGCAGCTCCGGAGCCCTCGCCAGGCAGCCAAGCACCGGGAACAGCGAGTCCCGTCGCGGGGACCAGGAGGTGCCTGCTCTTGGTACAGCGACAAGGGGGTTCAGCGACAAGGGGGGCATCCGGGGCTGCTCGCCCCCGGAGCGGCTGCGGCCCTGCAGCGCTGGGCACACGCTGCATTCCCGGCTCCGGCTACGGTGCAGGGAGCGGGCGTCTGCCGGGCTCCTGGGCTCTGAGCGTGCTCAGCTGGAGAGCAGCCAGCTCCAGGGTTGGCAGGTTCACTGGATGTTAGGAACGATTGCGACGCCAAAAGGGTGCTCAGGCATTGGAAAAGCTGCCCAGGGCAGTGCTGGAGTCACCATCCCTGCAAGTGTTCACACACCGTGTAGACGAGGTCCTCAGTGACATGGGTTAGTGGTGACCT